AGAAATTAGAAAAAGAGCAAATTTAACCCAAAATAATCAGAAAAGAAAATAATAAAAAAGAGTATAAATAAAATCCCAAACAGAAAAACAATAGAGAAAGTCAATGACACCAAAAGCTGGTTGTTTGAGAAAATCACTAAGATCAATAAACTTCTAGCCAGACTGATCGGGAGAAAAAGATAGAAGACACAAATTACCAATATCAAGAAGAGGCATCACTTCCAACTCTGCAGATAAAAAAGGATAAAAAAGGAATGTGATGAATGACTTTATGTTCCTAAATTAAACAACTTCCATAAAATAGACAAAGTCTTTGGAAGATATAAGCTATCAAAGCTTAATGAAAAAGAAAATGATGACCTGAATAGCCTTGTAACTATTAAAGAAACTAAATTTGTAGTTAAAAGCCTTCTTACAAAAGAATTCTAGGACCAGATGACTTCACTGGAAAATTGTATCAAACATTTAAAGAAGACATGATGCCATTTCTACGCCAACTCTTCCAGAGGAAGTATCACTTCCTAATTCATTCTATGAGCCCAGCACTACCCTGATACCAAAAGCAGACAAAGAAAATATAAGAAAACAATGAATTGAAATCCCACATAAACATATATGCAAAAATTCTCAACAAAATTTTTAGTAAATTGAATCCAATGAAATGTAAAAATGATAACATCATGACCAAGAGGAGTTCGATTACAGAAATGCTAGATTTAACTATCAAAAAGTCAATGTAATATATATGATTCAACAGATTAACAAACTAAAAAGAAGAAAACATATGACCATCTTGATAGGTGGATAAAAAACATTTGAAAAAATCCAACACCTATTCCTGATAAAACTATTTAATATCAACAAATTAGGAATAGAGGTAACTTCATCAACCTGATGAAGAACATATATGAAAAATCTACAGCTACTATCATACCCGATATTGAAAGGCTAAATGTTTTCTTCCGAAGATCAGGAAAAACATAAATATATCCATTCAGATCACTTCTAGTCAACATTATACTGTAGGTTTTAGTTAGTGCAATAAAAGACACCTATAGTGGAAAGGAAGAAGTGAAACTATCATTTTGTCCAAATGACATGATTGTCTATGTAGAAAAGCTTACAGGAACTACAAAAAGGCTACTAGAAGTAATAAGTGAGTTTAGCAAGGTTATCAGATACAAGATCAACATATAAAAGTCAATTATATTTCTACATACTAGCAAAGAACTATTGGAAACTGAAATTTAAAAATAACTAATATCATTCAAAATGGCATAACATGTGAACTATTTAGGGATAAATTTAATGAAATATGTGTAAGACTTTTACACTTGAAAATTACAAAACACTTCTGAGAGAAATTAAAGACCTAAATAAATGGAAAAATATGCCCTGTTCATGGATATGCAAACTCAAGATTATTAAGATGTCAATTCTCTTCATATAGTTCTATGGATTCAATTCAATCTCAATCAAAATCCCAACAGGCTTTTCACTGTAACTGACAAGCTGATTCTAAAATTTATATAGAAATTCAAAAGACCCAGAATAGCCAAAACAACTGTGGAAAAGATGAATGAAGTTGGAAAATTTACATTATCTGACCTCAAGACTTATGAAGCTACAGTAATCAGTAATGCTATAGTTATACAAAAGCTACAGTAATGCCAATGGTGGTAATGGCATTATGATAGACAAACAGAAAAACTGAACAGAAATACAATCAGCCAATTAATGTTTTATAGAAGTACCAAAACAATTCAATAGATTATTTTTTTCGACAAATGGTGATGAAACAATTGGATAGCCATAGCCATATGCAAAACAAAATGATGTACATCATATGCAACATTAAATAAAAATAGATCATGAAACCAAATGTAGGAGCCAATATTATAAAACTTCTAGAAGAAAGCACAGGATAAATCTTAATGACTTTGAGTTTTGCAAAAATTTCTTAACCATGACCAAAAAAAGCCATGAACTATAAAAGGAAACAAAAGTGAATTGGACTTATTAACAATAAAAACCTTTGCTCTTATTTAAATGAAAAGGCAAACTTAGGAGAAAATGTTTGCAAAATATATATCCAGCAAAGGATTTATATCTAGGATATATAAAGAACTCTTAGAACTCAATAAGACAAACAACCAAGTTTAAAAATTGGCAAAATATTTTAAAAGATACATCAACCAAGATAGCATATAGATGGCAAATAAACACAAAAAAAGATGCTCAACAGCATTAGTTATTAGGGAAATGTAAATTAAAACCACAGTGAGATACCACTACACTCCCACTAAAATGACTAAAATTAAAAAGAATAATCAATATTCAGTGAAAGCAAAGATATGAAGCAACTGGAACACTTACATACTGCTGGTAGAAATGTAACATGGTACACTTTGCAAAATAGTTTTTTTATTTTTCTTTTCTTTTTTTCTTTCATTTTTCAGAGATGGATCTCTGTCACCCAGGCTGGAGTGCAGTGGCATGATTATAGCTCACTGCAGCCTCCAACTCCTGGGCTGAAGGGATCCTCTTGCCTCAGCCTCCTGAGTAGCTGGAACTACAGGCATATGCCACCACCCACAGCTATTTTTTTTTAATTTTTTGTAGAGATGGGGTCTCACTATGTTGCCCAGGCTTGTCTTGAACTCCTGGCCTCAAGCAATCCTCCTGCCATGGCTTCCCAAAGTACTGAGATTACAGGCATGAGCCACCATGTCCAGCTCTCAGTTTGGCAATTTCTTAAATAGTTAAGTATATACCAACCATATGACATTCACTCTTAGGCATTTACCCAAGAGAAATGAAAACTATGTCCATACAAAGTCTTGTATACAAATGTTGATATCAGTTTTATTTGTAATAGCCAAAACTAGAAACACAAATTTCCAAGAACACATGAATGGATAAACAAATTTTGGTATATCCATACAATGAAATACCACTTAGCAATAAGAATGAATGAATATAGATACATGTAATAACATGAATAAATCTTAAAATAATACTGAATGGAAGAAGCAAAAAAAGAGTGCCTGCAGTATGATTCCATGCATATAAAATTGTAGTAAATGCAAACTAATCTGTAAGGACAGAAACAGATCAGTGGTTGTCTTTGGATGGGGGGGAGGGTGTGGGAAAGGAAGAATGGATGACAAAGAGGCATAAGGAAACTTTTTTGGGAGTGATGGATATGTTCATTATTTTTATTGCAGTGATGGTTTGAAAGGTGCACACATATGTCAAAACTCATCAAATTATACACTTTAAACAGGTTATATTATATGCTAAATATACCTCAATAAAGCTGCAAAATATATCTTAGGGACAATTAGAGAAATTTGAAAATGGACTAGACATATTATAGAATTAGATTGATAATGATATTCCAGTTATATGGAAGAATGTCCTTATATTTAGATGGACGATCAATTATTTTGGGGTGTAATGTTATGTCTATGACTTACCATTGATATTTTGGGAAAAAAATTTACACATACATTGTTAAATCCAGATGGAAATTATATGGGTGTTTACTATTCTTTCAATATTTCTACAAGATTGAAAATGTACATAATTAAAATGTCCCCACATTTTAATATTGTTTTATTGCCCACCTTCTTCCTCAGAGTGAGAGCAAGAGAGAAAGAGAGGGGGGGAAGGGGGGAGAGAGAGAGAGAGAGAGAGAGAGAGAGAGAGAGAGAGATAATTATCTTTATTAACTTGGAATGTAACCAAATCTTCTCTGGGAATGTCTCCAGGGAGGAAACCATTCTTTATCTTTACCGTCCTGGAATGTAAATAAATCTGAGCAAATCGTTAATGTCTAAACATGAAGAAACACGAGAGGTTCATGGAGGACCATCTCCATACAGGAGGCTAGAGTCAATCAAACAAAACTCAAAAGAGTAATGATAGGAAATGAATGCAGAAGATGACAAAGACATCTTACATATGCATCATTGTCCCTGAAGAAGTGGATCAGAAAAAAAAAGTTAAGCAAAATAAAACTTCCCTGAAATGAATGATTAGAATGGCTCACTATAACCCAGGTAAAATTAATACACAAAGATCAGGACCAAAGTATATGCTTTCATAGATCCTTAACTTCAAGAATAAAAAAAGAATCATACGGCAGAAAGGCACATTATGTACAAGAAAAAGGAGAGCAAGTTTGTCTAAGACTACTTAATAGCATCACTCAGTTTTAGAAAAGCAACATCTATCAAATTCTCAGGAAAAGAAAGTTTAACTGTATTAATCAGGGAAGCATAATCACTATAAGTATTATGGAATAAGGTATTTTTAAATATTGATAAGACCATACAAAATTTATAGGAATAGCTGAAGAAGTAAAGGTATAGAAGGGAGAGTTGGAAGATTAAAGAAGTCACTAAAGCAGCTCTTTTGAGACATTGGCATGAGCGGATAAATCAGAGCTTTCAGGAAAATCTCAGGATCCGGGCACATCTGGGTGCTGAAGTGGGACTGTGAAGGGGAGCTGATAGGGAAGTCTATAAGAAGCCGGGGTCTTTGCGAGCCTGCAGCCAAGCATCTGGTGGTAGGCCTAAGGCCACTGTTGGTCAGCAGGGCTGGGAGATGGAAAGAAGAGCTGGATATAGAGTGGGAGAGAGTGAAGAAAAATTGGAACCTGATGGGTAGCTCTGCATCTGTCCTTCGCTGTATCTAATCTCAAAGACTTTTTTTTTTTTTTTTTTTGAGACAGAGTCTCACTCTGTTGCCCAGGCTAGAGTGAGTGCCGTGGCGTCAGCCTAGCTCACAGCAACCTCAAACTCCTGGGCTCAAGCAATCCTCCTGCCTCAGCCTCCCGTGTAGCTGGGACTACAGGCATATGCCACCATGCCTGGCTAATTTTTTCTATATATATCTTAGTTGGCCAAATAATTTCTTTCTATTTATAGTAGAGATGGGGTCTTGCTCTTGCTTAGGCTGGTTTCGAACTCCTGACCTTGAGCAATCCACCCGCCTCAGCCTCCCAGAGAGCTAGGATTACAGGCGTGAGCCACCGTGCCCGGCTCAAAGACTTTTAAAAGTAATGCTTGATCCTTCCCTTTGACCTTCCAAATATCATGTAATTTCTACTTTTGGCCAACTCTCATTTCTCAGTATAACCCAGACATCAACAGAACAATCCAGCCCAATGGCCTGACATTTTTCTATCAGAAAAGTTGCTTTATGGTGAAATAACATTATCTGAATTCAGAAATTCCTTCAGGTTTTCTCTGAATTTAAACTCCTTTAAATTCATTTCCAAAATAGCTTTCATCAAAGTCAATGATGATCTCCTTGTCACAAAATCAAGAACCAGTTTTCTACCCTCATGTGAACTGACCTTCAATTTGGACAAGTCCTCCACTGAAACACTCCTTGGAAACCCTATGTCTTCTGTGAGCCCCTTGCTCACCTGGTATGTTTTGCCCTCTGGCTGCTTCTTCCCATGATCCTATATAGATATTCCTTCTTTGACCCGGTCTTCAAATGTTGGTACCACAAGCTTTGGTCCCACGCCTGCTTTTCCTGTTACCCCATCAATTTTCCTTAGATAGTTGGATGAGACTAAGATGCCACAGATAAACTCTCAAATCCCACCTCTGTCCCAAGCACGGAGAGTTATAGGTGGACCTACTCAGGCTCAGGAAGTGGAGTATGTTTAATATTCATTAAGAACTTCTCTCCATGCATAGTTCCAAATGCTTTACACAAAATGCATTACTTCCTTGTTATGGGTTGAATTATGTCCTCTCCAAAAGATATGTGAAAATCCTAATCCCCAGAACCTCAGAATGTGGCCTGATTTGGAAACAGAGTATTTACAGAGGTAATGAAGTTAAAATGAGGTCATAATGGTAAGCCCTAACCCAACATAACTGGTGTCCTCATAAAAGGGTAAATTTAGAAATAGAGACAAATATGCAGAGGGAACATGATGTGAAGACACACCAGGAGAAAACAGCCATGTGACAGGAGTGATGAGTCTACAAGCCAGGTAGCACCTAAGGCTACCAGAAGCTAGTAGAGAGGCATGCAATAGTTCTTTCCCTAGCACCTTCAGAGGGAGCCTGACTCTGCTGACACCTTAATTTGGACTTCTAGCCTCCAGAACTGTGAGTTGGTAAATTTCTGCTGTTTTAGGCTGCCCAATTTGTGGTACTTTGTTACAGTAGCCCTAGGAAACCAATACACTTCTCAGTCAAATCTATGGCGTAGGTACTCATGTCAACATCTTTTATAGCTAAAAAAAGTTAAGACAGAGTTTAACTAACCCAAAGTCACATAGGTAGGAAATAGTAGAGCCAGGATTGAAACCCTGGCTAACTGGTTCTTGAGCCTATCTACCTAACTACTATGCAAGCTACCTTTTAATATTTTTAACAGCATTGTTCCTAGTGACAAAAGAAGTTGAAAATGGGGTGAATAAATTTTAATAATACAAATACTTTAATAAATTATTGCATATTTACCCCATGAACTATCATGCAACCATTCAAAAGGGATATTGTTGAGTAATACCAAGATGCAGAGATGGTTGCATGCTATGATCCCATTTTTGAAAATCAAAGGAAACAATCCTTATATAGCTTCTAACTGATTTTAAGCATGGTAACAAATATATGTCCATACATGATTATAAGCATAGATTAAAACATGAGAGTGCTCACAGTAATTGATTAGTATTGGTTATCTGTTGGGGAAAAAAGAGTTGGAGGAGGAAATTCATTAAATAATGAATTTATCAGTTAGCTTTTTCTGGGCTTTAAGCCCCCCCAAAAACTTAGTGACTTAAAACAATGAACATTATTCTGTTAGTTGTTTGGAATAGGTGGGATGAATGGCAGAGCTTTCCTAGTCTGGGCCAGTATATTACTAACCTATTACTGCATAAAGAATTATCCTAAAATTTAGCAGCTTAAAATAACAAACATTTAATATCTCACTGTTTCTATGGGTCAGGCATTCTGTAGCTCAGAAGGATGACTCTGGCTGAAGGTCTCTCAAGAGGTTACAGTCAAGCTATCTGGCTGTGGTCTCATCTGAAGGCTAGACTAGAGGAGGATATGCTTCCAAGTTCACCCATATGGGCCTTTCCACAGGGCTGCCTCATGATGTAGCAGCAGTTTTCCCCTAGGGTGAACCATCTGAGAGAGTAAGCAAGCATCCAAAATGGAAGCCACAGTCTTTTTGGTAACCTAATCTTGGGAGTAACATCCTATTACCCCTGCCTCATTCTATTCATTAGAACAAAGTCACTAATTCCAGCCTAAACTCAAGGGAAGGGGATTATATAAGAGTGTGAATACCAGGAGGTAGTGACATTCAGGGTCATTTCAGAAGCTGCCAACCACAGTTCCTTTGACCAAGGTTGGATGGCCAGGATGGCTTCATTCACATGTCTTGTTGAATGTCAGTTGAAAATATGGGTGGTATACAGTGCCTCAACTGGGATGGCTAGTCTCTGCTCCATCACTGCTCCATGTGGTCTCTCATCTTCCAACAGCACAGTTTAGGTTTTCTCACACATGGGGTCAGGATTACAAAGAGAAGCAAGAGTGGGCAAACCTCATTGTGCAAGCATTTGTCAAGCATCTGCTTGTGTCATAGTTGTTAATGTCCCACTGGCCAAAGAAATAGCTAAGTCCAGTTTCAAGGACTGAAGAAACATATTCCACATCTTGATTGGTGTAGTGGCAAAGTCACACTGAAAAGGGGCATATATTCAGATAGTAGGGGCCAATAGAGACTGCCCAGACTTCTCTTCTAGCTTCTTCCTAGGATGTAGACATCTAGAAAGAACACTGCTCCCATCCTTATAACATGTAAAAAGCTACGCAATCTAAAAAAATTAGAACTTTTTTGAACCCATCAAAGAGCTAAGATCACAAAGTAGTCAACTAGCTGAAAATATTAGAGAAGACAAGTGCCTCAAAGGAGACAGGAAGTTATCACTGGGTCATATGTGGCAGAGCAGTAAGGAAGATAGGGCCACTATACAAACAGTAAGCATTCAGCAAGAAGTTTTAATGAATTGCTAAAGACCGAGAATGAGAGACCCCTGAGACCTGTAGACTTAAGAGTAGTTGGCTTTCACCTGCAGGCTTTTCTCCACAGACCTCCACTGAATGCTCACAAGAAACACTGGGGGCAGGGCAGGAGACTGGAGAATGCCTCCCTCCATGACACGTGCCTATAAAGGGGCAGCTACTAATACAAAAATGGCACAAAACCCCAATAGAACACGAATCCCCTATAGAACAAAAGCCTTACGCCACTGGGGGAAGTGCAACACACCCTGTTGCCCTCAGGACACAGGTAGAGATCTGTGACTAGAGAAAAGGAAAGGGGTAAAAAAAGATCTTCCACCCATGATAGAAGGGCAGGAAACCATCCTAGGCCCAGACAATTAAGTCTTCTATCAGAGGATGAGGGGCAGGATCACTGAAAATAACCTCACCCTTAAGACCCACAGATAGGGCCTGACAAAAACTGAGGCTGGCTCAAGACAACCCCTGCCTCTCACTCACCAGGTCAGTAAGAACCAAGCAGTAACAGCAGTTTACTACTAAGGTAGAGGCAAGAGCATGGAGAGACACCCTCCCTGAGATGCAGGCACACAGGAGATGCCTAAAGGTAAGTATGGTTCAGGAACATTGAGAAAAATTCTCTGGGCAAACCAGTAGCTACTCCAAACACAAAATAAGAGCCCAACTCAAGATAACATTAGAGGACCTTGAAGTCTATGGCACACTGAAGGTAACGATGGCAACAAAAAAACTCAAACCCAGCCCACCTATATGGACTCAATCCTCCCATGCTAATAGCCTATCAGAAGGGCAGCTATGTGTATTTTCAGGAATAAATACTGTCCTACATACATCTGACATTCAGCCAAAATCATTAGATGCAAAACAGCAAGAGAAAATGATGCACCATCAAGAGACAAAGCAACCAATAGACTCAGCTTCAGTTGACCTAGTAGTTGGAACTACCAAACAGGTAATTTAACACAACTATGATTAATATGTTAGAGGGTGTTATGCGCTCAATGTCTGTGTCCCTCCAAAATTCATATGTTAAAATCCTAACCCTCAATGTGATGGTATTAGGAGGTAGAGCCTTTGAGAGGTAGTTAGGTCATGGAGGTTGAGCCCTCATGAATGGAATTAGTGCCCTCATAAAGGGGATCCCAGAGAGCTCTTTAGCTCTAGCCATGAGAGAATACAGGAAGTTGGTCCTCTGCAACCTGGAAGAGGGCTCTCACCTGAACCTGACCATACTGGCATCTGATCTCAGACTTCCAGTCTCCAGAACTGTGAGGAATAAATTTCTGTTGTCTGTGGTATTTTTATTATAGCAGCCCAAATTGACTAAGACAAAGGGTAGAGTGGGAAACACAAACAACATGCATGAACAGATGGGGAATTTCAGTAGAAATGTGAAAACCATAAGCGTCAAAGAGAAATATTAAAAATAAAAAATAAAACATAACTGAGATGATGAATGTCTTCAATGGGTTCATCAGTAGACTTGACAGAGCCAGGTTGGGGACAAAAATCAGTGAACTTGAAGATAGATCTATGAAAATTATCCCAACTGAAACACAAAGAGAAATAAAGGCTTAAAAGGGACACACACATGGGGATGAAAAAAATCTGTAGCATTTTTCTATCTAACAATGTGTCCTCTGGTCACAAATTATTCACATTACCACCCCATGCAAAATATGTTCACTCCCATTCCTGGACCTCCATATGCCTCATCCAAAATTGTGGCATCAAGCTCAACTCCAGGATCTCAAATCTTCTGTATCAGGTCCAGATGTGGCTGAGGCTCCTTGAGTATAATTTTTAAGTTTCTTGATCCAGATACCTGTGAGCTAAATGATGGGTTATATGCCCCCCCAACACACACAATATATATATACAATGGTGAGATAGTGACAGGATAATTGCAATAGATACTCCCATTCAAAAAGAGGAGGACCAAGAGACACATATCAGTCACTGCTCCATAGCAATTCTGAAATCCTACATAGCAAATATTATCAGTTCCTCCAGCTCGAGGGGCAGATAATGTTTCTTCATTAGGGCACAGTTCTCCCTAGGAATGGCTCCCCAGTCCATTTTAATATATTATTCTTGGGTCTTTCCTCTGAGACATTCTTCACTTCCCATACGAAATGGCCCATTTTGTAGCTGAATAACTTTCTCAGCTTGCATCCATTCATAGAAATTAGGGAGTGAGTCCAGAAGCCACTTTCTATTTTTAATTGTTTCAGTCCCTTTAAGTCCAACCTGGAGGTAGTTTCACTGGTAAAACTCTATTTAAAACTATCTTTGCTATGAAGCTGGTTTAGATCTACTCCATGCCCCAAATGCCACATCAATAATTCTTTTTAAGATAGGCCTCTCTCCACTTTGAGCAGTGTGTCAGGCTACTGTGAGATAATGTCATGAAGATTTTTAGAAGCCCTTAAGTTTAGCTGAGAGGGTCTCCCAAGCACCAACTTAAATATTTCACACATTGAAATAAATGGTCTTACAGACACACGCATGATTATATCTTTACCCTGAGGCCACTTTTTACCTTGAGAATATCTCTTTTTACCTTGAGAATATTCTCAATTATATTGGCTCAATTACCTTGAGCCAATAGAATACTCTCTAATGGCTAGAGAGACTAAAGATGTAAAACAGTTATTTTCCAACTCAGCAAGTCTTGGCTTTTCTATATTTCTTCTGAATTCTGCTTGCCAATGGAACAGTTATTTCTTTCGTTCATTTCTCTCTTTCTGTACCTTATCATATGCAGCTAAAAGAAGCAAATTGATATTTCTTATATTCTGCTGCAAATTTCCTTAGCCAGATTCACACATCCATTTGGTCCATTCTCTATCTTCTCACAAAGCATGGTGATTGCTTTGCTGTTTTTCCTACTAAATAATATGGGGTGCCATCTTTCTAGCCTTTGTTAACAGTTTTCCTCAATGTTTTTCCAGTTTCTACTTGCTGCCACAGCCCAAAACTAATGCCATGTGTCTTATGTCTTGGTCCAATAACACCTCCCCCAAATATACACTTTCAAGTATCACTTAGTATTTGCTGTGCAACAAACTACCCCCAAATTTAAGTTGCTTAAAATTATAATAATTTTATTTATCTCAATTCTGTAAGTTGGCTGGAATACCTGATATGGATCTTATGGGATGGGCTGGGGCTAGAGATCTAGGAAGGCCTCACTTTCATGTCTAACAGTTGGCATGTCTAACAGGGGCCATAGAGGGCTGAATTGCCTCTGCTCTAGATGATTTCTCATCCCCTAGTAGGGTAATCTTAGCTTCTTCACATGAAGGTCTCAGAATTCCAGAGAGCAGCAAGAGAGAGCAAGCCTCAAGGCAAGCTTTTCACACTTCTCAAGCTTTTTCTTGGATCCCTTTGCTAATGTCCATTGGCCAAAGCAAGTCACATGGCCAAGTTCAAAGTCAAGTAGAGAAAGAGATGCTACTTCTTAACAAGAGAAACAACAAAGCAACATTGCAAAGAGGCATGCATAAAAGAATGGGAGGAATCTGTGGCTATTTTGCATTGTACCACAATGAAAGAAAATAAGAACACTAGGTCATGGAAATCAGCATAAATGATAGGATATTTATGTATTTATGTAAAATTATATCTGAAGCTGTATGTATATATAAAACCAAAGTGACTTTTAAATTGTGGATTCATTTGATAGAAATATTCAGTAAGAAACATATCTGACAGACACAATTATTCTAAATTTGAAAAAGAATTTCAATTAAATTATTCCTCCTGTTATGCAATGTGTTCTGCCACAAATACCCCACAGAACTGAGAGTAGGTCTACACATCAATTCAATTATTTTGTTGTTCTACCTTTCATTTTGTTGTCACTTTGCATTGCTCAATATAATATAATAAACATGACTATCATTTACATAATTTTGCACACTCCTTCCTATAAAGAATTTGGTAATGATCTGCCTTATAATGCTTTCTATAGGAAGGCTTTTCCTAACACATCAAATTGGTAGCATTTTCCCCAGTATGACTTCTATTATATTTTGTGAGGCTGTGCAAATATGGAAATTCTCCCTCCTTCAATGCATTCCTAGAGGGTCTCTTCAGAATCATTTTTTTCTCATCTCAGGTGAGATAGCCTGATGAATGCTTTTCGTTATACAACATATTCATATAGTATCTGTTTTGGATGAATTTTCTGACATACACTTAAACCTGATTTCTATGATAAGGCTCTCTCGTTTTCAAGAATCAGGGTTACTTTCATGTATGAATATTGCGATGCATGCTGAGAACTGATTTCTGGGTGAAGCCCTTTCCACAGTCACTGCATTTATAGGGTTTATCTCCAGTATGAATTGTCTGGTGTTTATTGAAATTTGACCTGTCAGTAAAGGCTTTGCCACATTCTGCACATATATATGGCTTCTCCCCTGTGTGAATTCGCTGATGTACTTTGAGATGTGGTTTCTTGGAGAAGGATTTCTCACAGTCAGGACATTTATAAGGCTTCTCTGTAGTGTGAATTCTCTGATGTGTAATTAACTCTGACTTCTGGATGAAGGCCCTCCCACAATCAGCACAAACGTAGGGTTTCTCTCCAGTATGAATGGTCTGGTGTTTATTGAAATTTGATCTGTCAGTGAAGGCCTTCCCACATTCAGCACATATATAAGACTTTTCTCCAGTATGAGACTTCTGGTGAGTATTGAGATTTGACCTGTTGGTGAAGGCCTTCCCACATTCAGTGCATATATAGGGTTTCTCTCCTGTGTGAATTCGCTTATGCATCTGGAGTTGTGACTTAGAAGGGAAAGATTTTCCACAGTCACTGCATTCATAAGGCTTCTCTCCAGTATGAATTCTTTGATGTGCAATCAAGTGTGCCTTCTGGATGAAGGCCTGCCCACATTCAGTACATATATAGGATCTCTCTCCTGTATGAATTCTCTGATGCATCCTGAGCGTTGATTTTTGGGTGAAGGCTTTTCCACACTCACTGCACTTGTGATGTTTCTCTCCAGTATGAATTTTCTGATGTATACTGAGGGCTGAGTTCATAGAGAAGCCTTTCCCACATTCACTGCATTCATAGAGTTTTTTTCCAGTATGAGTTGTCTGATGCCTGAGTAGAGATGAGACCTGGAAAAATGATTTTCCACATACATTGCATTTATAGGGTTTTTCTCTAGTATGAGTTTGCTCATGCACAATTAATTCTGAATTCTGTATGAAGGCCTTCCCACATTGAGTACATATATATAGTTTTTCATCCCTATGAATTCTCAGATATATACTGAGTAGTGGTTTCTGTGTAAAAACATTTACACATTTGCTAAGTTCATGAGCTTTTTCCACAGCATGAATTCTCTGAGGTGCAAAGAGGTGTGACTTCTGAGTAAAGATCTTCCCTAATTCAGTATATGTGTTTGCTTTTTCCCCAACAGGAAATTTCAGATGTTGACTGAGTGAGTGTTTGAAGCTGAGGGCTTTTCCACATTGATTACGTCCACAGAACTTCACTCCCATATGTGTGTTTTCATGGTTAGAATAAGAAGAGCACTGGGTGAAAACTTGACCATGTTCAATAGTTTTATCAAAGTTCTTTGTTGCGTTGTTTTTATTATGAATGTGTAAATCCAAATTATGCTTAAAACACTTCCCAAATGAGCCACGTTTAAGGGGTCTTTTCTGTGAAAGAATGAGTTTTGGGCTTGGATGAACAAATTTTCCAATGTCTTTCTGTTCATAATCCCATTCTGTATTCAATATTTTCTTATTGATAAAAGAACCATGGCTCAAAGCTTTGTTTTGTTTTTCCTGGCATCTCTTTATCTGTTCATCATTTTGCCACAGTTCTTCTAAAATGGAGTAAAATGAATCATCTCTTGCATCATCACCCTCTATTTCACTATGAAATGTAGCTTTTCCAGAAATTCTTTTGTGTGAGGTCTTAATTCCAAACTTCCCATCTAAAAGGAGAAAGAAAAGGTAAACTTGTCACAAAGAATAGATAGCAGAAGATTAAAAGGTACACATAAGTTAATCCAAATTGAATACATGGAAATCAGTAAATCTAACGGTGATAATGATGTCAGTGATGACAGGAAATGCATATATATCATTTATTATATGCCAACCTCTTACATTACACAATATTCCAGGCACTGTTCCAAGAAACACATACAGTCATGCATCACTTAAGGACAGAGATATGTTCTGAGAAAGGAGTTGTCCGTTGATTTTGTCATCATGCAAACATCATAGAGTGTGCTACACACCTACTACACACCTAGGCTATATGGTGTAGCCTATTGCTCCTAGGCTATAGTAACAACATGTACTGAATACTGTAGGCAATTAGAACACAATGGTAGGTATTTGTGCATATAAACATAGAAAAGGTAATGCATTGCACTATGATGATACAACAGCTACAATGTCACTAGACGACAGAAAATTTTCAGCTCCATTATAATCTTATGGGATCACCACCATATATGTAGTCCATCATTGACCAAAACATCATTATGCAGTACATGACTGTACATATGAACTTATTTAATCCTTTCAAAACCCCTACGAGGTATCTACTATTATCTACCTTTTGTAGAAGAGGAAAGTGAAGCTCATAATGGTTATATAATTTGCCTTAAAACATGATTATTAAGTGTTGGAGGTTGGAGTTCAATGTAAGCAGTCTAGCTCTATTTTGGTGAGAATCTTGGCTATCAAGTGAGTGGAGAGAAGACTAATAAGACAAGGATTTTCAGGGGAAATAACTAGAGAGCCTAGGCTTGAAAACGGTGACTCAGAGTTTAAGTCCTCATTAGCTTTCAATTCTAAATCTTTACTCATCTCACTGCTTCATCTTGCTTATTAGAAAAAATACTACATTAATGTGACAAAAACAATTTATTCACGTCTATTTCAAAAATATGGTGGTCATAGCCATCCTCACCTATAAAAACAATAAATAGATGTCTATACTCCAACTCTCCATCCAGGTGTAACTGTTCTCTTGGACCTACATAATATACAGCGAACAAGAAGTATAAAATAGGAGAGAGGACAAGCCATCTATGGTACAGCCTGAAAGCTGTCCACTAGAATCTGTTTCTTTGTTCTTTTGCATTAACACAGTAGCACTCAGGCATATGGCTGCTTGGTCACATAACATTTCTCAGCCTCCCTTGTAAATTGGTGTGGCCATGTGATAATGTTCTCATCAATAGAATGTAAGAGAAAACGATGGTGCTACTTTCAACCGAAAGTGTTGAGACAATAGGCATGTTTTCTCCACATCCGCTGCTACCTTCATGGCTGCTAAAACCTGGACTTGGTAGAAACACAGATTCAAACATATAGATGCTACAAAAAACCTAAGAGATGGTGGAGTAATGTGCTGGAAGAAGCCTGAATTCCTGAACAAACATAAACAATGAGATTTTCTATAAGAGAGAAATAAAATTCTTTAGTATTTTAGTCACTGTACCTTATAAGCTCTTTATTACTGCCAATTAGCATTAACATAATTCATATACTATTGTTGTCTAGAGTGGGTATCACAGATGTTTCCATTCCTAATATAGTGCATGAGACATATTAGATTATTGGTAAATAATTTTTAAATGAAAAAATTATACCACTGACTTATTCAGTAAGAGATTTTAGATATTGAGAATGTTCTGAGTCAGCAAATCCAGTTTTCCACATGGTCAGTTTGATACTGTACTCCAGACACATGTCCCATCCAAAATCTCATCTTCCTAGTCTTAAATTACATTTTTATTCTCACATACTTGGCTTTAATTTATTCTGGAGATATTGAGCACTGGATTCCTAGGCATGATTTTAGAAGCAATTCTGTTTTTCACTTTATTTAATCTATAAATCCCTTGCTGTACCAGACAATATTTATTAGATCACTAGTACCAATGTTCACTGTAGAAAATTTGCTCTTGCAATAACACCTCTCCTGAGCCCACAGATTCTATGAACAGTATATAAATGAAGAGTCATAGTCTAGAAAAAAAGAGTGGCTCATACAAGCTTACGTTCTGCTTGTTGCTCCCAAAAAATGCCTCAAAAAATAATCCATTTATTCTCAAATCAAAGGATGTGTTCATGTCCTCTCTCCCCACTAAGCCTACTTAGCATATTACTTTATGCCACTTGAAAAGGTATGTGTGTGCTTCATGAAGCAGTTTAAGACTCTTTTACTTTGAAAATTAAGCTGATCATATTGCTAGTAAGATTTTTTTTCTGAACTTCAAAAGCAGACACACTCTATGCTATTCATTTTGCTAATCATTGTAATAGATTTCTATTATAATAGAAACACAATGAACAGAGGATAAATGTTTTAATATTTGATGCCATTGTCATTATTTTCTAATAAAAATTTAGGCCTGTTCAATTCCTCTCAGTAGAGGAATTGAAATCCTTCTGAAACAGAGTGAAATGCTCTTCTATTCTTATCCTCCACAAATTCAGTAAATTAATATTGATATTTTCTTCATGATAAACATTTGAATAATAAAAATAAGCTACAAGCTCTTATTTTCAGAGACTTTCAGAAATTACTAGAGGCAAAGAATCTGGGACATGGGGAAACAGAAATGGGGAAGAGCAATAAATTTGGAGTAGGTAAGGGCCATTTCATAGAATAGATAAGAGCCTGAACATAAAAGGAAAATGCCTATTACCTGATAGGCAGAGCACAAAATAATAAAAAACCTAGATGCACAGATACACTTTATATACAGTAAGCATTAAAGACAAAGTGAACAATTTTAGAAAAGGATGAATTAAGGAAACTGTACAGATATAATTTAAAACTGGGAATAATAGCCATCTTGTAGATGGTACCGAGAGAAGAGTTATTGGTCATATGCTATATATTAAATAATATGGAGTAACTGTACACTTACTTCATAAAGCTAATGACAAAGATAGATGCAATGTCTTAGGTAATGAAATATGCCAATAGCAATTAAGATCAACTAGAAACAAGAATGAAATTTGCAGCTCCCATTAAGAACAGAATAATCCAAGCATAAAAATGTATACATCTGTTTTGGGGTGGTGCTACTAGGAATTAAGATGGGAGACTATCTAAATAGAATTTTTTACAAATAGGAATTTCAGAGTAATCAGTAAGAGAAGATAACTAAGAGAGAAGAAACAAGAAACAGCAGAATCTGACAAAATTTGGAATGTGAGGATTCCTGATTTGGGCAATGATGATGCCAATTCCTCCCATATTGAGGATGAGTAAAAGAGAATATTCCATGAGAATCATCCAGTAGGAGATAAATGAGCATAATTATAATATAGAAACTAGTAGTGTCAATATGAAAGTCATCAGAATATAAATAAAAAGCTTAAGTACTCCAAATGGAGGACTCCTTTGAGTTAATTAGGAACAAATATAGGAATAAATATCTACAAGACAGTAAACAACGCCCCTAACTAGTGCATCTCAGTGGGGAAAAAGCCTCTCTGGAAAAGAAAATGAGAAAATTATGTGCAAATCAAGAAGAAAGAGAGATAAGTGTATGGTTAGAAAGGATAAAATAATGGGAATAAGCAATTCACAGAAGGGGAAATCCAAATGCATAACATGTATTAGAAAAGGAGGGAAAACAATACAATACCACTTTACATCCATTAGATTGCCCACAAAATAAGAAATTTGGACAATGCTGAGTATTGGCATAGATGTAGTGAAACAGGCACAGTTGTGTACTGCACATATACCACAATGATCAAGCAATACCATTCCTATATAAACATCCTGAGAAATAATCTCACAGGCTCATCAGGTGATATATATGAATTCTTTGATTTTTATTGAGACATAATTTATAGATAGCACAGGTCTTAACTGTAAAGCTCAACTCAAAAATTCATATGTATACACCCATGTAACCACAACTCAGATGAAAATATAAAACATTTTAATTATCTCACAAAGTTCGCTGGTGGCCCTTCCCAGTCAATAACTGACTCTCAGAGGTAATCAACATTCTGACCATAGATCACCAATCATTTATCACCAATATTATCACAATCATAGACTAGTTTTACTTATCTTCAATTGAACTTTGTATAAATTGAACCATACAGCATATGCCCATTTGCATGTCTGGTTTCTTTTGCTCAAATTTTTTTGAGATTCACCCAAGTTCTCATGTGTATCAGTAGTTCATTATTTTCATTGTTGTATAGTATCACATTATAAGAATATAGCATAATGTTCATCAATTCTGTTGATGGACATTTTAGCTGTTAAAAATTTTTGGCAATTAGGCTAAAGTTGGCATGAACATTTTTGTACATTTCTTTTAGTCGACATATGCATTCATTTCTCTTAAATATATACCTAAGAGTGGCTATTACTGGGTCACAGAATCAGCATACATTTAGTGTTAGTAGGCATTGCCTGTCTTCCAAAGTGGTTGAAAGAATTTATACACCTACCATAAATGAATGGGAATTCCAGCTGCTCTAAATAATCAACACTTGACACTTGTCAGTCTTTTAAATTTTAGCCCTTCTTTTGTATGTATGTATATATGTGTGTAGGGTTTCTTCATTGTGGTTTTAATTTACATTTCCCTGATGAGTAATGATGTTTAGCACCTTTTTATGTACATAATGCCCTTTTGGATACTTCTTTTTTGAAGTGCATGTTGTGTCTTTTACCCATTTTTTCCTATTGATTTGTAAGAGCTCTTTATATATTCTGAATATAAAGTCATTTGTCAAATTTATGTATTGAACATATCTTCTCCCGGTTTGTGGCTTGCCTATTCACTTTCTTAGTGATATCTTTGGAAGAAGAATAATTCTTTACTCCACACTTGATCTTAGCCAAAAGGCTGAGAAGCGATAATTCTTTATTCTAATACAGTTCAATTTACTATCGAATTAGATGTGAAATGTCCTCCTTTCTTTTCTTCAAAAG